TTCCTTCCTTCCTTCCTTCCTTCCTTCCTTCCTTCCTTCCTTCCTTCTCTCCTTCCTCTTCTCCTTCTCCTTCCTCTTCTCCTTTTGGTTGTTATTGAGGTAATTTCTCTGTGTAACAGCCCTGCTGTCCTGGAACTTGCTTTGTTGACCAGACAGGCACTGAACTCAGAGATCTGCCTGCCTTTTTTTCCTGAGTGCTGGGATTAAAAAGCGAGCATCACTGCTATGAATGAATCTATGGTGTAATATTTTACAGCAAAGTATCTGTATCTATATTAGACCAGTACCACGAATAATATAGAGTTGTTAAACAAACTGAGCTTATAAACCACATAATGAGCTAAGAAATTTGAGGTTAGATCACCAAACAGGAAAGTCTGAGAGCAACCAGAACGACCACATGCTGGCAAATATATATGTAGATGTAAAAATAATAGATTCTTGACATTTTCCTCTGAAATCTAGTCTCAACGTTGGGTAACTTTTTATATTAGTGTTATCTGAATGATAATCTGAGTATTTTAGGTAATTCACACTGTTCATAGCAAGAATTTAAGCATACCTGGAGCAGAAGCTTGCATATTTCATACTTTCCTTTGGCTGCAGCTTCATGTAAAGGTGTGAACTTCCACAAGTCAGCTACGTTAACTACTGCTCCATGCTTGACAAGAAGTTCTGCAACTTCATAGTGTCCATAAGAACATGCATTGTGCAAAGGCACAAGGCCTCTGAAAAGTTAAATAAGCAGTAATGACGGAAAACATGGTTTAATCTCAGTAATTATAAATAACTAATGAAAGGCATTTCTTGAACTGCCTAAGGGAGTACACTATTCATACTTTGTAGAACTTAAACCTATGGAAAGCAGAAAAAGACTTTTTTGGGGGAAGAATTTCAGTATATCTTAAATGAAGAGAATATGATAAGTATTTACTCAACATCTAGCATTGTGTATTTTTAACAAAAACAATTTTAAGAGTAAAAATTTGCCTCAACGAACACTAAAACTTTAGTACATTAATATCAGTATCAACATCACAAAATGACATCTCTAGCAATTATAAAATGACAAGCAAGATATTATGTAAGTCAATATAATTCGAGCTGCTTATTTATTTATTTATTGAAAAGGTCTCATAATGTAGACCTTATTAGTCTCAAACTTGTGATCTGCCTGCCTCAGCTTCCCCAGTGCTTGGAGTCCAGGTGTGCACCACCATGCTCGGCATAAAACTTTAACGGAAGGGCTGGAGAGATGGCTCAGTGGTTAAGAGCACTGCCTGCTCTTCCAAAGGTCCTGAGTTCAATTCCCGGCAACCACATGGTGGCTCACAACCATCTGTAATGAGGTCTGGTGCCCTCTTCTGGCCTCCAGGCATATGCGTAGACAGAATATTGTATACATAATAAGTAAATAAATAAATATTTAAAAAAAAACTTTAACGGAAGGTAATTAGTTATCATTGCACCAATGTGAGAAAACAAATTATACATTTAAAGAACAGAAGTACTTTTACCATTTATCACAAAAGGTCATATAAGAGCGGAGTGGAGAGCCCCGGCAGCCGCTCCTTACCCCTTGTCTTTAGCGTGCACGTCAGCCCCGTGCTGCAGCAGGTATTCCACCACAGACACTCTGTTGTACCCAGCTGCAAAATGGAGTGGCGTTGATTGACGTCCTTCTATGTCTCTACAGTTGACACTCTGAACAGTACACAGTTTCTGTAGGGTTGAACACACCACACACATGATGCTACATATTTTCATGTCTTGTTCTAACACAATTTAATAGAAATTTCAAATGCCTGCCTTATTTTCTTATCTCATTAAAGAAATTATTTCAGAAACTATTTTTATTTTAGCTTGTCATTTATTGAAAATTCTTCTGGTTCTTTCATATATGCTTTTATCTTCTACTTTTTTTTAAAAAAGTTTTATTTATTTATTTATTTAGTGCTTGTATAGGAGTGCTCTAACTGCATGTGCACCTGTACACCAGAAGAGGGCATTAGATATATATACACAAACCAAAAACTATATACATCTACAGAAAATCTACTATGTAGGAATTCAACAAAATTATTTCAAACAGCTGCGTCTGTCACAATTAGGCAATATAAAGCTTAAAGCTTGTCTTTATAGAAACCTACAGGGTTTCTCTGTGTAGCCCTGGCTGTCCTAGAACTCAGATGGAACTTCTGAGTGCTGGGATTAAAGGTGCGGACCACCACAACCCAGTTATCCTAAACTTTTTATTGTACACGAGTGCTCCCTCAACTTGGAGTAGCCTAATTTTGAAAACGTCTTCAAGGAGAGAAATAATAAAATAAGAAGGCTTTTCTCCCTGGCTATTTTGAAAACTGAAACATTATTGCATTATATAAGAATTATTACTTCACAAAACAGGTAAGTCAAATTCTGATTTATATTACTTGAATTATAAGCCTTGCTCTTTCAAAACATCAGATTTTTGGGTTATTTACCTAGACACACATTTCTGTACCTAACAGGGACACACAACATATACAGTAAGACAGCAATGTGTGTACAGCACAAGTAAAAGAGTCTGAGGGAAGGTGACTCTGGGGAGACTGCTGTCCGGATGGGATAGACAAGCAATCTGGTGCTCTGTAGGAGAAGAGAAATGTTCAGCCCAGCTGAGGAAGAGACCTAATGGATCAGAGCAATGGCAACACTATGCTCACCCAGTAACAGTGGATCCCTAGGCAGATGGGGAAAATGAGTGAACCAGAAGGAATCTGTGCAGACACCTGCACATTTTATGTGTCATCTATAACATAAAACTTTTCTTTTTCTTGGTACTGCTTTTAGACAGGATTTTCCCAAATAGCTCAGGCTGTCTTTAAAGCCTTAATCTTCCTGTCTCTGCCTCCCTACTGTTTGGATTGTGAACTATCACACCTGGTTCATACTTATTTATCCATAAAATAATTTTTATTTTTTTTAAAAAAGGATTATATTATGTTTCTGAATGTTTTGCCTGATGTGTGCTTGTGCTTCACACGAGTATGCGGTATACACGGAGGTCAGAAGGGTGTCACATCCCTGGAGTCAGTTATACATGATTGTAAGTCACCATATGCGTGCTGGGAACTGAATGCAGGGCCTCTGCAAGAATTGCAAGTGTTTCTAAGTTCTAGACTGCTTATTCGGCCACTTAAAACTCTTCTTTTGCAGGGACAAGGACGCTCTTTAAGATAATTGCATTTTATAAGAACACTAAAATTTGCCAATGTGATATTTTCTAAAATATATGTGAAACTAAAGGTCCCCCCTCCATTTCTCAATGTTCCTTATGAAGAAGAATTGGTATTTTTATCCTTATTTAATAAGGTTCATTGATGTAATTGTACAGATTAAACAATGCCAAAATAAAAACCAAAGATTAACAAAAAATTAAGATGGTATCTTACCTTTACAGTTTCTACATCACCAGCCTTTGCAGCTTCAAGCAGCTGTCTGTCTGCCTCTGAGTGACCTGGTGAGATGCCCTCTAGAAAGAGGGGAGAAGAGTGGTTAATTTCCACATAGAAAATAAAACCAAGATTCAAAGGAGTTATATTTTACAAAGTAGTTTCTGAGTTTGCTGGCTTATATATAATCACCACAGGAGAAAAAGCTAAGGTTATGAAAACTTTTGAAAAACATACACTGAACAAAACGCATAAGCACGGTAGTTGTAAAATGCTATTTAAGTGGGGTAAAGAACATAACTGAAGAGAAAGCTCGCCTGCACTATCACCAAGCCATGTGTGAGCACTGGTAAAGAGCAGCCAGCAGCCAGCTGGGCAGTGGTGGCACACGCACGCCTTTAACCCCAGCACTCCAGGAGCCAGTCAGGTGATCTCTGTGAATTTGAGGTCAACCTGCTACAGAGTGAGCTCCAGAGCAGCCAGAGAAACCCTATCTCGGAAAACAAAAACAAAAAAAGAGAGAGGGGAAACAGGAGGAAAAAAAGAAGAAAGAAAAAAAAAGAAAAAAAATAGGGTCTACGTAACCCTGTCTGTCCTGGAACTCAGAGAGATGTGCCTACTTCTGCATACTGAATACCGGAACTAAAGGTGTGCACCATCATGCCTGACAAATCAGCTTTATAAACTTTATAACTTGAGTGTCCTGTAGTGATATTTTGTTTATGTTTTAACAAATAAAGCTTGCCTGAAGACCAGAGTGCATAGCTAAGACATTATAGGCCAGGGAGCAGTGGACACCTTTAACTCCAGCACTTGGGAGACAGAGGCAGGGATCTCTAAATTCAAGGCCACCCTGGGCTACACAAGATTAAATCTGTCAGAGCTCACACAAAGGTGATCCCAGCACTTGGGATCCCACACCTTTAATCCCAGCACTAGGGAGGTGGAGACAGGAGTGATTGGCTGGGCGGAGAGAGGAATATAAGGCGGAAAGGAGACAGGTGTTCAGGGCAGTCTGAGGACAAGATCACCCCTGCAGTCTGAGCACTGATAGAGGTAAAAGGTCTCTCTAGTGGCTGGCTGCACTGCTTCTCTGATCCTTCAACTTTCACCCCCTAATATCTGACCCCAGGTTTTATTTATTAAGAACAATTAGAATTCGTGCTACAGTATCCTGTATTTACTCAGAGAAACTGTGTGGAATTTGCTACTGAACAAGTCCTAATTATAATTTAATGACATTTAAGTATTAAATATAATGAGCTAAGAATTTTAAATTAGGAAGGCCAACATTTCTCAAAAATTTTCTGTTTATTACCAACTCCTACACCTAACACCTGACATGTGAAACCCTTAAAGGTTATCCTTTAAAAAGAATGCCAGAGAGGCACCCGATACCTTGAAGCAGCTGCTGCACATTTTCATTTCCCATCTGCAAGGCAGTGAAACCCTGGAGGGATATGATGTTCGGATCACACCCATAGCTCAGGAGCAGGCGGCAGGTCTGTAGATGGCCACAGTGTGCAGCTCTGTGTAATGACGTCTGTCCAAGACTGTCCAAAGCATTAACCTTAATAATGCAGAAAACACTGAAATGAGCACTGTGGAGCACCATCTAAAAGCATCCAATACTGAAAGTTTCTTTTCTTTTCTTTTCTTTTTAAAAGAAACCAACTGTTCAATTCTAAATTAGGCATTTCCCCCACCTCAATACTAGAGTTACAAATTCCCCAATCCATGAAAACTAGTATCAGAATGAAGGTCCAAGTTTGGGTTAAATATGTGGGTTGCCAAGTACAGTAAATTAAACATTTAAAAAGTTATGCTTAGTTTTAAAGCATTTATGAATTCACCCTATTTAGAACTAGACATTGATTGAAAAAGCTGTGTTCATTGAAATTTTACAGGTCTTTGAGGATACATAATTTTTATGATTGACTCCAAGATATACTACAGTCAGGGACAAGTCTGGAGGTGAGCTAGTATTGAAATTCTCATTCCTACTTAATTAATCTTTTATACCATGTATCATGTAGAATATTATGTGAATAAACATGATACATCTACAATGGAACAATCACCAGTAATACAAAGGCACTGTTGACATGCTGGTTTATCACCAAAATATTATACCAAATGGGAAAACCTTAGACTAAAGAGTAAGCATCTGTGATAGATAAGCCTCAAACAGCTGTTACTGCTCTTGGTAAAGATTGCCTGAGATGAAGGACTTTTATGGATTGAATTCAGGCCTTACACATTGAGACAATCTACCATTGCAGTATCCACTACCCACTTCTTGTCTTAGCCTGTGTTCTTTAATAGATTTTGGTTGAACAGATACACTGTATATGTATATAGGTATAGATTTGTTAAAACTCAGCAACTAAACATTGAAGATTTGCACATTTAATCCCATATAAATTTTGCACCTACAGAAAAACTGTATATAAACATCCAACTTAGTTGATGTGCATACACAGAATATTTAGTATGTGCACAGCAATCTGAGAATGCGTCAAAAATATGACAGGTTGATGAATAAGTAAGATATTATAGCTGGTGATAGTATCAAAGTAGTGGGCACAGAACTATTCTTTTGTAAAATTCTTTCAATTTGGCTGTGTCTTTTAAAGACTACCTCTAAAACCATCTCATTTCCATTCTGCCTCCTTACCATGAAAATATTTTAATATATAACTAACTAATCCTATGTCCACCATTGTCTCTTAAGACATTGGTCAATTAGTAATTCATATCATCAGAGAATATTTCAAGATGGACATAGCAAGATCTCAATGAGCATAAAACTAGAATATGAGTGCAAATGATTACAGAACTGAAAACTTATTTAAAATGTTCAGGACAATGTTTACTCACATACTAAATCATATTTTTTTGAAAACCACCCCCTGAAAACTTTTGAGTGATATATATTATAGTGACCAACTTTTGCTGGTTTGCCTGGGATTTCTTCAGTCTTCACACTATGATACGGGTTTTTAGAAACTACAAGTCCTGGACAGAAGCAAATGAGTGGTCTCCAGTCACAATGGTCCCACTAAGTCTCACAACTCAAACTCAACATGCACCTGTACACTCTTCAAGTAATGTGCCATATGTAAGTAAAAAGTGATTCAGGAAGGCACAGAGCAGAGACAAATGAGGATGCCAAGCAGTCAAGCAGAAACCAACTTTATTTTATTTAGCAATTTACAGTAGGAAAAAATCACGTTTATACATTATCAAGAACTTCCCGAAACCAGAGATTAGGACATTAAAGGTAACAGAAAAAGAAACCAAAAGATTTAAGCAGTTCCTTGAGTGGGTAGAAATCCAAGGAAGGAAAAGTACGAAAAGCTGACCTGCACACCCAGTGAGGACAAGGTCTCAGGCACTCAGGGCCTGTTTTTCCCTCCAACTCACAGCAGCTCCATTTCTGTACCACATACTAAATCTTCACTAAAAATTTTCTTTGAAGAAGGTAAAAATCTTTGGATTAAAAACTGGAAACTCCTGACTGTCATTTCTGCTATGTACATCTTTTACCAAGCATTTTTTTAAATTAAAATTTTGATATTTATTGTCTGTGTGTATGTGCATGCGCGTGTGCAAACGCGCGTGTTTATGTGTGTGTAAGCATGGGGAACTCAGAGGACATCTGGGACTCAGCTTTCGCCTTCCACCATGCTGAGGCAGGGTCTTAATGTTTCTGTCACTCTGCTAACTGGCTGGTGAACTGGCCAATTTCCCCATCTCTCTCCCATTTATCACAACATTGAGATTACAGATGTGTGTCACCACACCTGGCTTTTCAGATGGACACCAAGAGATCGAATTCAGGTAGTTAGGCTTGAATCGCAAGCACTTACTTTACACACTAAACCATTTCTCTGGACTCATTACTAATCATACTTTAAAGTTATTGGGTAATGATTTACAGCTTTGATGGAAGTAGCTATTCAAAGGGTAAAATGCTTTGTGCATAAATGCCAACTAAAGAATGTTAATTTACCAATATGGTTACATATGTTTTAAGTCAAATTATTTCTTTACTTGTATTCAAGTTCTTTGTCTTCGTTACAGAAATGGTTGAAAGCACAGACTCTGCACTGGGAAATAAGAGGAGTTATCATATTAACAAAGGGATTCTGGCTGCTGGTCAGAAAAGAAAACCAGGGCAGGACTGGCCCCTACTATAAGAGGCGTTCTGTGTACTATTAAGAAAAGGTCAAGAAAAACTTTGATCAGTGAATTAAAAGGAATGGAACAAGAAGGACATACAGGAACATGTACATACAAATAGACACATAAATTTCCGAACAGTAACAAAAAATAGATTTGGGAAGTTGTCCATAGGACCTCCTCCTAATATCTGTGTATTGAGGAGTATGTATGTGTGTGTGCACACAAGAGTGTATGTGCATTAGGTGTGGCTCCTCACCCTCTACCTTGGTTGTACTTAAGCACTTTCACCTCTGCCTCCCATTCAGCCACAGCAGCACTACTACCTCCTGCTTCACGGGTTCTGGGGATCTGAACTCAGGTCCATATAACTGTGTGGCAAGTACTTTATTCCCCAGCCTGGGCTGTTTTGAATTGTAAACTAAGAGAAAAAAAAACATTTATGACAGAGTGAATAGTTGAAGGAGCTAGCTTGCCACTAAACAGAAAGTAACTCGCTGGATTAGCCAAGATTACCAGAAATGATGTATTATATACCTTTGCTTCATGCTTTACCACTACTTCAACAACGTCATTGTGAGCTTTTTCAGAAGCCACGTGCAGAGGAGTCAAAAATCTTAAAGAGAAAAAGCCAGTCACAATAAGTATATTTTCCATACAAAAAAATAATCAACAACATCAACTGGTTAAAGGTATACTTACTCTTTAGTCTTTTCGTTGGTGTTTGCTCCCTTTCTTAGCAGCAGTTCACATATTTGCTTTCTTTTGGGATATGGAGATGCAGCAGCACAATGCTAAATAATTCAAATTGCAGCATTAATCAAGGACCATACAGAACCATTTTCACTTAAGAACACTTGTGTTTCCAATCAAGGAAATAAATGCAATATAATTTGTTTTATTTTTACTCAACTTTGCTCTTAAAAGACTTTCTACTGGAGAGAATGTGTATTAATTACAAATTCTGACATGCTGGAAAATTCCACAGATCAAATACTATGTGTTATTAAATATTCTGGTTAAACTTTGTCCTCTATTTTTAAAAATGCCACTACTAATAGGATGAATAATGCTACATTTAAAAGGTTAAGTAAAGACTTGAGTATTGGCATTTCCTTTTGCAGTGCTAAAGATTGAATCCGCAGCTTCATTACCACTGAACTATATATCCTCAGCCCTGGGTTTGGGTTGTTACATGAAGAAAGCATACCCCATCTGTTCTGTTCTGAATTCTGCTGGTTTAACAGCACTGATGAGCTAGCTGCTAAGTTGTGTATCTTCCTTAACTGGTTGCTGCAGCAGAAAAAGGAGCTGAATTACCTGTTTGGCACAACCTGTGGTTACCTGTGGCTGCAGCATTTCTGAGTATTAAGGTTTGAAAGAGAAAGGAGGGAGGGATTTGCCTTTTATAAACATTATTTATGGTTATGGCACAAATCTTTACAATCTCAACATTCGGATAATACTTGGGTAAAACCGATACTCAGTATCTGACTAATAATTGACCAAATCTGAAAATTGTGGGCAAAAAATTCTGATTAAAATTTTAAAGCAAAGTTGCTCTATACATCTAAACATACAGTGATTATGAAATCTTTGGTTTTTTTTTAAGATTTATGTATTTATTTTATGTGTATGAGTGCTCTATCTCCATGTACGCCTTTTTGCCAGAAGAGGGCATCAGATCTCACCATAGAGGGCTGTGAGCCACCATGTGGTTAACTGAACTCAGGACCTCTGGAAGAGCAGCCACTGCTCTTAACAGCTGAGCCACCTCTCCAGTCCCTGCTGTTATTAGTCATAAATTTTGTCAGTTCCTCACAATTCATTTTTTGATATTGTTGCAGTCACCAAAATAATTCCTTCACCCTCTCTAGAGTGAAGTTTAATAGGTACACAGTTCTTTTGACACACTAAGGGTAATACTCTAGGACAGTTATTCTGAATATAAATAAATAAATAAAAAGGAGACTGTTTATTTCCAAGAAGTTTTTATTATACTCATCACAATTTAGAGCCCTATCCTTCTGTCTATCCTAGGGAAGGGCCTGCAATCTCTGGAAACAAGAAACTGTCCCTGCACTACAACTACCTATGAACACTTAAGTCCTAGCATGTTTTAAAGTTAAGGACATGATGCTTACAGCAAGATACTTAGAGGAACAACACACACACAGTACATTCTTTCATCTGTGCTGTTTTCCTTTCATTACCTGAGACCACTAAGATCTGATATTACACAGAAAAGCTCCAGAAATGCATGTTTCTGAGAAGTGTGATGAAATCCCGTCCTTTGCGCTGGGATGTTCAGAGTACACAGGCTGCAGATGCTGCTCATTAGTATGTTTACAGCTGTCTTTTACTTACTGGCCCTAAAGTGTGGGGGTAGTTTTGCTGGCAATTATGATATGGCAGGGGCTGGTGAGGTGGCTCAGCAGTTAAGAGTACTGGCTGCTCATCTGGATGACCCAGGTTAAATTCCTGGCACCCACATGGCAGCTAACTGCAACTCCAAGATCTGACACACACACGTACATGCAGGCAAGAACCCAATGCACATAAAGTAAATAAATTTAAAAAACATTAAGTGGCAAATTTCATAGTTTATATTAAGGCATAAGGAAAAAAACATATTATCTATCAGGTAGCCTACTTCACTCATTTCCTTCTACCTAAGGAACATCGTGAAGCTTATATTATGTAGGTTCCTATTTTCTTTTGGAATTTCTACTTTGAAGGTAGACCATGCTTCTGTATTTCACCAATCATCTGGTAGCTCTTGGAGTTCACTACACACGATTACTTTATCATAGTTCCACAAAGGTCACCTCTCTCGCTCCATGCCCTGCCTCCACTTGATTATTTAAGATAATCTTCCTAGTGTGGCTCAGACTAGTCGTAAACTTGCGGTCCTCCTACCTTAGCCTCCTGGATTCCAGGTACATATATCATGCCCAGTTTGTTAATGGACATAACTCTAAGATACTTAATTCAATTTGTGGAAAACCACAAATGACCAATTGTATGATATACACACACACACACACACATAATTACATACAACATGCAAGAACATGGGAATTTTTTTCTTTAGATAGGTTCTTAAACTACTAGTATTATTTGCAGGATGAGGTTGTCCATCTTTCTACACTAGTTAGATTTTTTTTTCCTTTATGTATACGTGGGTAACTGAATTTAGTTCAGCAGGGCAGCAAATACCTATATCAACAAGAAAGGCTGAGGTAGGGCTACCGCACATACAAGGCTAATCTGGGCTACATAGTAAGATATTAGACTCACAAAACCAAAACAATAAAAACATTAACCAGCCAACAAACAAACAACCAAACAGATGAGTATTTTAAAAACAATGTCATCACTAATATCAGACATTGTGATTAGTTTCGGTTACTTTACTTTAGAAGCTTAAGTCTGAAACGTTACCAGTGCTGTTTCATGGGTCTGAGGGTGTTTGAAATTCACCATGTCCAGAGAAAGATGTTTTTTGATTCTTGTAACATCAGCTTCCCGTGCAGCCTGCAGCAATGAGTGGCCTTTGAATTCATCTAAAAGAGGAAGCATTTGCATCCACATGAAATTATCATAGTAACGAGGCTTACCTAGCACAATAATAATATTTTTTTGGAATTATTTTAAAAACAATCTCCAAAATAGCCACATTAAGGGCCCATAGATAAGACTAATAGCGATTAGTTATTATTATTATTAACAATGGCAGACTAGTTCCCTTTAGTCATGGCTCAATTCATTCCCAAGTCTATACATAAATTATGCCAAGGAAAATTCATGGTCTGCTGCTATTCTATAACTGGATTAGAGATTATCTACACTATTACAATCTGTTCCCACCCCAGAGTGTTCTGAGAATTTACAAAGGGTGACCATGACCCCTACACTAGCATTCCAGCAGTAGGAGAGTCTTGCTCATGCCTACCAGGTAACTGTGGAGCAAACACATAGGCTCATCAGTTGCTCCTCAGGATGAACAACATTAAAGAAAGCATTTCCTCAAAGTTTCTTTTACTTACTAGATCTGAAAAATCACTATCATTTACTGTTAGAATAATGTAAGTTCAGTTCACAAAGTTCATACTATATCTAAATCAATTGCTTATTTCTTACTATATTTTCTTTAGCTACACAGGAAACCACAGAATTTGGCCCAGGTAGTAATCCAGGGGCTGTATTTATAAGACAACAAACAACTTTTTGTAAAATGAACTAGCAAGACACAAAGATATGAGTAAAATCCAACTATAATTTACATTTCTTAAATTGAAAAACTAGCCCAAATATATTTTACACAGTATTTAAATTAACTATGCTAAAAAGAAACAGGGCAGCCTTCTATAAAGAAAATATTTTACTATTTATACATCACCAAAAGAAAAGAATTGTGAAAAAAGAAAAAAAGCTGATTCATTTAGGTCATGTATTTTGCTAAGTATCATATGGCTTTTTGGTTTGTGTGTGCGTGTGCATGTTTTCCCAAGACAGGGTCTCACTATGTAGCCCTGGCTGAACTAAAAAGATCCATCTACACCTGCTTCCTAAGTGCTGGGATTAAAGGTGTGTGCCATTGCACCCATGTTGAACATATACTCACATGATAATCTTTCCTTCAATTGTGGAGTGGGAGCCAAGTCTATGGCACTTTTATTGTGACAATTCAGCAGTGTTGGATCTGCCCCGTAACTCAGGAGAAGAGAACACACTTCAACCCTATTCTTAGAAGCTGCCTCATGAAGAGGAGTAAACTGCCACAAGTCCATTGCATTTACACAGGCACCATGCTGGGAAGAAAAGGTGTATAGTTAATGTTCAATTCTTAAGAGAATTTAGACTAACCCTGTGTAACTTAACATTCAAGTTTAGTAAAAGGTCTTCTGCAGGAATCTCCCTTTCCTTTTGCAGGTATAATTTACATGCAGGCAAGCAGAACTCTTAATGCGTATAGCTTAGTGAATTTTGAAAGATACAGATCCATTCCACCACAAGAAACAAAATTCTTATTTTTTTGTTTTTGTTCTTTGAGACGGAGATTTTCTGCGTAACAGCCCTGGCTGTCCTAGAACTCACTCAATAGAGCAAACTGGCTGCGAACTCAGAGATCCGCCTGTCTCTGCCTCCCGAATGCTGTGATGAAAGGTGTGCACCACTACCGCTACAGAATGTTTTCTATGCTTTTTTCATTGGCAATTTTTTGCTCTGGTTTTTTAGCATCATATTTATGTATTCCTGGATTTCATAAAAATAAGCACAATAGACTGTGCGTGTTTAGCTCTTTCACACAGTAACGTTCCTGAGACTTGGGCTGCATCACTAGTTTGAATTGCTGAGGAGCTTTTTATTACACTGTGGTTTACTTATTAGCCTGTTACTGGACAACTGGACGGGAACAAGAAGAGTAAGGCAGCAGCAGGAGGAGCCTGAAATAACAAGATTTCTAAATGTGGTTTGACTCTTTGATCCTATACTTCCATTAGCACAGAGTTAAGGTAGTCTTTTAAATAGCTAACATCACATATTATACTTGGGCAACTTAAAAGCTCTAGTTTTTTTTTTTTCAGGTAAAGATTTTTTAAAAAAAATTTTAATTACATGTATCTGCATGTGTCAGTGTGTGTGGGTACATGATCACTGCAAGGTCTCTGGAGGCCAGAGGAGGTAGTCAGATCTCCTGGAGCTGGAGTTAACAGGCTGCCAGAGGTACATAACGTAGGTACATCCAAACTCTGGTCCTCTGCAAGATCATGTATGCTCTTAATCCTAATCACCTCTATAGACCCAAAACTCTAGAAGGTTTAAAACATGAAGTAGACATCACATCTTCTGTGCTATTTTTGTGAACTTAGGCCTTTCTGTTGACTCTTATTAAATTTGATCATAATGGCTTCAACCGAAGCTTGTTCTCATTTATTCTCACATACTTCATGTCAACAGTCTGCCAATTTTTATATATCCTTTCTAATTTATTTTTTGTTTTATTTTGGTTTTTTTTTGTTTTTTGAGACAGGATTTCTCTCTGTGTAGCTCTGGCTGTCCTGGAACTCACTCTGTAGACCAGACTGGCCTTAAACTCAGAGATCCATCTGCCTCTGCCTCCTGAGTGCTGGGATTAAAGCTGTGCACCACCACCATTAAGCCTTTCTAAATTTTTAAATAGTCAAACCTTTATTGTAAATAAGTCACAAATAAAATATTATTCAGTGAGATTAGTCAGACCCAAAGCCACACAGTCTTGGTGAATGGGTACATCTCGAGCACTCATCCTGAAGCTATGGAGCTTTGCCCTGGACCCGATTACACTTTCAATTATATTTTTACACACTTAACTGCCTCTTCCACACATAAAGTAAACTAAATGCAAGAGTTAAAACCAGAAAAACAATTAGCTTTATATTCTCTAATTTTGTATCAAACCAACATTAAAACCTGGATCACAATAAGTTACAGACAGATGACCACGTGGTGGTGGCACACACCTTTAATACTAGCACTCAGGAGGCAGAGGCAGGCAGAACTTTGTGAATTCAAGGCCAGCCTGGTCTACAAGAGCTAGTTTCAGGACAGGCTCCAAAGCTATTGAGAAATCCTGTCTTGAAAAACAAACAAACAAACAAACAAAACTAGTTACAGACAGAACCTTAAGGCAGTCTAATAGTTTCTGACATTCCTCTCAAGTGAATAACAGTCAACTCTTGGCAGAGCTGTTTAGTTATGAATCTGACAGAATTTCCCCTCTTCAGATCAGACTACTTGCTTTTTTGTACTTAGAGGCTTTGAAGATGAAAGTTGAGAAAATGCTTTGCTATCCTTTAAAAAACATTTATTTACTTATTTGTGATACTTTGATACAGGGTCTCACTATGTAAACCTGGCTGGCTTAGACGTCACTGTGCAGACCAGGCTGACCCCAAACTCACAGAAGATCCACCTGCTTCTGCCTCTAGAGTGTTGGGATTAAAGGCAAGTGCCAACATTGTTATGCTTTAAAATTTTTTTAAAAAGTATCTTTATTGCCAGGCAGTGGTGGTGCACGACTTTAGTATCAGCATTTGGGAGGTAGAGACAGGCAGATCTCTGTGAGTTCGAGGTCAGCCTGGTTTACAAGAGCTAAGTTCTAGGACAGGCTCCAAGGCTACAGAGAAATCCTGTCTCAAAAAACAAAGAAAGTACATTTATGGTCAGTCGGGTGGTAGTAGTGCACACCTTTATGTCTCAAAAAAAACCAAACCAATCAGCCAACCAAACAACCCCCACCCCCTGGCAAAAAAGAATATTTACTTTCATATTAAATTACTATGCGCACACACATGCATGTGCCACAGTACACACGCAGAGGTCAGAAGACCACTTGAAAAAGTTGATTTTCTACTACCATGTGGAACCCAGGAATTTAACTGAGGTCATTAGGCTTGGCAGTAAAAGGCTTTATCCACTAAGACATCTTGCTAGCCCTCGTTGCTATTTTTGTATTTGCTGGTGCCATATTTCATTATTTAACTCAGGGATGTGACTTGGTACCCCCTGTTCCTAGGTATAATGAGTGTTCTGGTTATGGAATGCAGTCACCGAATTAATGTCTTCTGTTAACCAGATTCTTTAGTAAGGGTTGTCAACTTGGTGTTTGCTCAGGACATCTGTATGTATTTTCAACCTTATTTTGATTCCTCATCTCAATTAACACTTTAGTGTGACCTTTTTAGTGTCACTTTTCATTTTACATACCAACCCCAGTTCCCACTCCCGTCCCTCTTCCCATTCCCTCCACTTACCCCCACCCACAACAACTATATATTTAACATTGCATGGTATCTTGTATCTCAAAAATCTGAAGGTAGTCAAATGTTATCTTATCAATAATCTGCATGTTATGATTATAATTATTCCCACTTTCTACCAAGCACCCAGAACAAAGAATAAGTCAGAAACACTATGCGTTTCAAATCATTTTATGTAATTATAGAAAATAATAAGGTATAAAAGAACTAACCTTGACCAGAAGTTCAGTTACTTCATAGTGACCGTAAGAACAGGCATTGTGTAATGGTACCAGATCACTGCAATGAAAGGGAGGGAAAAAGCGCTTTATTACTGAGTTCCCAAGTCTAGGGCAATCTTCAAATTGTAATTCCCGAGTCTCTTTCAAATCCATATTCCTTTTCTCCCCACCACTACTACTCATAACTAGTTTGCGCTTACATAGTTACATACTAAATAAACAGCCTCTAAACCAATTTATTCTCTAAATTCTGGCCAGATTTTTTATAAAGGTAAATCCCTTACAGGCATTCTTGTTTTAATATCATTGTTCTTCCTTTCTTTGAAGAGACGGTTCTAAGTTTTAAATTTTCCCTTATATGAGGTCTCACTAAATATAGCTTAGGCTGGCTTGGAACTCACTATGTAGACCAGGCTGGTCTTGAACTCACAGACATCTACCTGCTTCTGCCTTCCCAGCATTGGGAATAAAGGAGTGCGCCTGGTTCTAAGTTAACATGACACACATAAGGTTCTGAGCTTTTCTCTGGCTTTATAATTCTTTGTGTATCTGCACATGTACTTTTCCTAGGTATAGATTTCCTTCCTTCTGCTGTTCTGGCTCAGATATCCTTTTCAGATTTATTCTGAATAAATAGGTCTTCTTTGAAACATCTTTTGAAATTCTGTAAGACAAATGCTACAGTCCTCAGTAAACTGAAGCCAAATTCCTTTGTAATATAGCGGAAGAACACTTACACTGTATAACCTTAAAATTCTGGCTTCTACCTTTAAGCCTCTCTCCCTCTTCTTGGGGATCAGCTTACTAACTGGTACAAGCACAGCCAGAGCAGTTTCTGGTAATACACAGCTCTTTCCTTGCCTGAATACCAATTTCACTGCCACTCACTAAACATTTCTGCTTGAATTTCTACATTCTCATAAAAGCAAGAGCTCTAAAAGTTAGCACAATGTTTTCTGCCAAACAATTCCCCCTCCTATACTTCAATAAATGTGCTGTGGGTCTAACTCTCAGTTTCAGGATGTTAAAGTTTTCTGTTCCTCCCATTTCACATCCAGATCTTCATTATCTCTAATTTTCCACTGCAATGGCAACCACTGTTAGAAATCCTAGCTGTATAGAAGCTCACTTCACAGTGCCTACTCTTAGATACTGCTGTCCTCACTTCTAATCTCCACCTTTCAAGTATCCAACAAGTATTATCCCATAATGCATCTCTCCTTAAGCTCCTTTGAGAAAACAAGCTCCTCATTTCAGATCATAAAATGCTTACAACTGCAGAAAAAAGTTGTGTTCCTTATGGTAATAAAAACAAAACTTTTCTAAAACTTGCTTGTTTTTTAAACTAGTTTCTCCAATTCTGATATTTGTCCAATGTGAATCATCACCTTCTGCTTTACCCAACTTAGCTTGGGGTGTGTGCATGTTACTGTTGACTGAGCTCAGGCCTTTGTGCATGCCAAAACATGAGTCCTACCACTGAGCTACATCCCCTCCCTCTCACTGGGGGTGGCATGGTACGAATATCTTACTAAATTGCCCCAACTTATGATCTTCCTCCCTCATCCTTCCAAGGAGCTGGGATTATAAACCTGTGTCAAAGTTGGCTTGCTTACTACTTCTTAAATGTACTATCTGTACTTTCTTATAGAATCATATTCTTTATCTAAAATCTGCTTTCTATTTGTTTATTCATTTATTTTTGAGTCTCAGTTCCAAATAGCCTGGAACTGTTATGCAGCTGAAGACGCCCTTGAACTCCTGAGTCTTCTGACTATACTCTTCCAACTTAAAGGATTATAGGCACGTGGCATCTCACCCTGCCTTGAAGATATGGGCAGAGCATACATCTTCTAAAGGATCTCCTAATAACTCCATTCATCAGTCTCTATTTATCACTCAAATTTATGGGGCATCTTTCATGAGCTGAGTGGTAGGTTTAATGCTTTAAAATCCCTATGGTGCTCAGAACAACTTGCATCTTACAAAAGATCACAAACAATTTCCTTAAACAGCAACAGGAAAATGTTTTCATTAAGGAGATCGTGTGTTAAAGGACGCCAACAAGAAGGCCTCACTTTTGTTCAGAGCTTACCCTTTATCTTTAGCATGGACATCAGCTCCATGTTGCAATAACAGTTGTACAATCTTTACTCTGTTGTATCCTGCTGCCAAATGCAATGGTGTTGACTGAAACAGTAACCAAATAAACTAATGAAATTCACATAATGGCTGCATAAAATGTTTGAATACAAAAACCCAAACATAAAACAAGAAAATCTAACTATGATTAATCATTGCTAATAAACAATACATTTATTTTTCTTTCTTTCTTTCTTTTTTTTTTCTTTTTCAGGGGGGAGGGAGGTGTTTTGAGACAGGGTTTCTCTATTTAACAGTCCTATCTGTCCTGGGACTTGCTCTGTGGACCAAGCTCAATTTCAGAGATCCACCTGCCTCTGCCTCCTAAGTGCTGGGATTAAAATCATATGCCGCAATCGCCCAGTTCAATTTGGTTAATTTTAGAAAATTAACATATATAGAAAGCATAACATAAAAGTTTAAAGTTCATCATTGCATAGAGATAAATGTTTATTATCAATGAGTTTTATTAAGGATCTCAATTACTATCTAAAATTAAAAAGAAAATACCAGAACTTTATAATAAACATACATTCCTATCACCAGATGATGAAAAAAATTTAAAAAAAAAAATCATCAAAGCAAGTACCTTTCTGCCATCACTTGCATGGCAGTTGACATTCAATGGTGTAAGCAGAGCCATCATTTTTTCCTCATTGCCACTCCTAGAAACACACATTAAAAAAAATGCATTAGTAGCTTATACTATGTATTGTAACCATTAAAAACAAAGTCTTCTCTTACAGCATGCTTATGGCATTAGATAATTTTTTTTTTAAGATGAGGTCTGTCCTATTCTGTAGCACAGATTGTCCTGGAACTCTCTCTGTTGCTCGAGCTATCCTGAACTCATTGTAGGCTCACTGACTCTGTCTCCCATGGATGGAGATTACAAGTGTGGGCCACATTTCGGGGTTGGGGGTAAAGAACCAGAGATTCACAGTAAAATTTGGTTTCTTTTAAAATATCTTATTTTTGTTCTTTTTAAATGTGTATATGTGTGTGTGTGTGTGTATGTATGTATGTATGTATGTATGTATGTATGTATGTATGTGTACACAGTGTACACAATACAATACACATGTTTTGTGCGCTGCCTATAGAGGTCAGAGGCACCAGATACTCCTGGAGCTGAAGTTAAGGGCAGTTTTATGTCCTCTGATGAGGGTACCAGGAACTGAACTTGGGTCCTTTGCAAGAGCATCAAATGCTCCTAACCACTGAGTCATGTCTCTATACCCTCATAGAGATTTATCTGCCTTTGCCTATGGAATGCTGGAATTAAAGGTGTCCACCACCATGTCTAGCAAGAATTTGCTTTTTAAAGATATATTTTTAGTTGGGCAGTGGTAGTGTACGCCTTTGATTCTAGCACTCAGGAGGCAGAAGCAGGTGGATCCCTATGAGTCTGAGGTCAGCCTGGTCTACAGAGTAAGTTCTATCAAAGCTAGGGCTATACAGACAAACTCTGTCTGGAGTCCAAGGAGATGAGGAGTGGGTATAGGAACCACTGGAACTAGAGTTACAGATAGTTGTGAGCTGTCTTGTAGGTGCTGGGAACCGAACCTGAGCTTTCTGCAAGAGTATCAAGTGCTCCTAATCACTGAGTCATCTCTCCACTCCCCCCTCCCCACTGTGAAACTTTTATGGCACATATACTTAAGAGTAGTACATACCTGGCACTTTCCAAGAGTTCATCTTTCTTATAGTCACCTGTGAATTGGGGGGCGAGGGAGAATATCAGAAATAATGGCAGTTACTTAAATGGACATCATACTAGGTAAAGGCAAAAATACATGAAGTAGATATAGCTCAAACCAAGCCTGCTAGCTTAAACTAGAGCTGTACTAATGTCAAAAGATTCCAAGGAAATGAATTCTAGTTCAAACAGCCATACTTTTGAAATAACTAGAATAAAGTATTTTAAAGAATTCCTTAAAAAAATCATTACATTAAAAACATAATAGTATATAAAGAAATATATTAACTGTTTAAAAAACTTGGGATTTAAAAAAATATACTGAATACCTGAAGCAATACATGTTTATCATATCTTCTGTCAATACAATGATAAATTTAAACACAAATTTGAAAGAAAAAAAGACTTTATTGTTTTTAGACAAAAACAACTTCAAATTCAACTGTTGACAGACAGCAAAATAGTAAGCAAACTACACTATGTTCAAACTCTACTTGAGGTCATTACCTGCATGAGGGAGTGTGTCTACCTAGCCCATTAAGTATTTTTATTCTTCCTGAAACAACGAAAGTGCACACAGACTTACCAGTCAGAACAGCTTTGGCGGATGGGTCTGCTAAATCCAATGCTGTCCTCCCATCTGTATTTCGGATGGTTGGCTCAGCTCCGTGCTGTAAAAGCACTGCAAAAATAGCAAGACTACTTTTCAAAATTGTGGTTATGGCAGTCTGAGCTACTATGTCAGCTTCCTTCCTTCCCTCCTTCCATTCTCAAAATTTTAAAAGTCCCAGGACAGAATTCTCAAAATTATTTAAAGACTTTTGGTATACTGATAATATGGCAAATCCTTAAATTTAAGAAAATATACCATATTCAATTATTTAATACACTAAGAGCATGGTAGGTTTTCTCTGCTCAATATAAGATTTTTCTTGGCTGTTTTTTCCCTGGTTACAGGGTGGTAAGAAGTATGCAGGGGAAAACGGAACACTGGTCAAATTTTTCTTGTTGCAAAGGAGTACTGTCTATGACAGAAAGACTCTTCTATCATGAAATGCCCAAAGCTGTACATAGACCAGGCAGAGAGCTGTAGGATTTAAAACCTATTTGAATACAAGCATGCATTCATGTGCACTTGCACACACAGAAGCAAAAAAAAATAAAAGTTTTTTTGAAGAATGGAAAGTTCAAGGCGTATCTGGGCAACTCAGTGAATGGTGCCTGTATTATAACAAGACCCTCAAACCATAACCAGAGTTCTTCACAAAGTCCCTGTTTCCTAACATTTCTCCAATACAAAGATGCCAGAAAGTTGAGCCTTGAGACCTGACTCTGGCTAACTGTTCCAGTTATGGGTTTGTTACTGTGATAATACCATGACCAAAAGAAACTTGGGGGCAAAGGGTTTATTTGACTTACATCCTATCATTAAGAGAAGTTGAGGCAGGAACCTAAGGGCAGGAACCGAAGCAGAGACAATGAGGAACACTGCTTATTGTCTTGTTTAGCTACTTAAGAAAATAAAGAAACACAACTCCGGCTCACCTGCCTAGGAGGGCACTGCCCACAATGGGTTGAACCCGCTTATATCAACTAAGAACTAAGAAAATTACTGGAGGAAATCCTCAATTGGGGTTCGGTCTTGCCAGGTGACTCTACTTGTGTCTAGGTGATAAACTTAACCAGCATACTAATTTACACCATTAGCCATTATCTTCTAATACGCAATGTTCATTTCCACCATGCCTTTATTTGTTCTTTTGTTTGATTTTTAGAGATAGGGTTTCTCTGTGTAGTACCAGCTGTCCCTGAACTCAGAGATCACTTGCCTCTGCCTCCCAAGCACTGAGACTAAAAGCCACCATGTTCAGCTGCCTTTATTTGGTTCTTTATGCATCTTATCCATCAAGAGAACACAATTTTCTAGAGAATGATTTTTTCCCCCTATTTCCCATAGAATTTTAAGATTTTTAAGAAAAGACATGCAATAAAGAATGGTTTGAGGGCTGGAGAGAAAAAAAAAAGATAGATTAAATCATGAACAGATTTAAATCTAAGTTCAGCCTGGTAGAAAGACAACACTAGACACATTAGATTCAGAATAGTTACAATTTCTAGAAAATTCTGAAAAATAAATACTGGCTTACCAATGCAAACATCAATTTTTCCTTTAATTGCAGCTTCATGGAGAGGAGTATAATTCCAATTATCTCGAGCATTTGGGTCTGCACCATGTTGCAAAAGGAGATTGACTACTTCAGCATGACCAAAAGAGCATGCATTATGAAGAGGAATAAGACCCCCGTCATCTCGTGCTTGCACGTTTGCACCATTCTGAAGCAGATATTCAACTACATCCTTCCGTCCAAAACCTAGAAAGAATACAAATTGCCCACATTTAAGTTTACCAAGGAAAATGACAAGCTATGCTAAAATGTTTTAGGATAAAAAATACCATGATCAAGTATTTAAGAACTGTTGAAAAGATGACCTGAAATACATACAACTAACCTTAATATTTAAACCCAAGGTTTCTCCCTCTGCTAAGTAGCCTATAACACCCTAGTTGCTATTGCTACTAATTTCAGAGATGATTCCAAAGGGGGCCAAAAGCTCAAACCCCAAATGGCTCCAACTATATAATGACATTTCCAATTGTAAATATCAAGTTCTGCATATTTAGTGTGCACACATTTTCATACACTCCATGTATGTAACTTAAGTATATAAATGAGTACCTAATAAAGAAGTAGCAGACTCATAGAATCTTTCTGCTCCAGTGGGGGTAGATAAATGGAAGGAATATAGAGATAGGAGATAGCTAAGTCAAAAATTAATTAAAATAGAAATAATTCTATTTTACTGAAATGTGAAAATTTAACTAGTTCCATCCTGATCTAGATAGTTGGTGATTTCTCAATCTTTTTACTACTGCACATGACACTATCAGTAACTAAAAAGAGAAAGAAAGGAAAACATAGACTCCAGTGGCTAATATGGTAAACAGAATCTTAACCAAGGTTTGCGAGTGTGCTGGTTAGTTTTTTGCCAACTTGACATAAGCTAGAATCATCTGGAAGGAGGAAACTTCAATTGAGAAATTGCCTTTGTAAGATCTGGCTGTAGGCACCTGTAGGGCATTTTCTTAGTGGTTGATAAGGGAGGGCCCAGTTCATTTATGTAGTGCCACACCCCTGAGCTCCAGTGCTAAAACAAAGCAAGCTGAGTAAGCCAATAAGCGCACTTCTTCATGGTCTCTGCATCAGTCCCTGCCTCCAGGTTCCTGCCCTGTTTGAATTTCTGCCCTGACTACCTGTAGTGATGAACTGTGACGTGGAAGTGTAATAAATCCTTTCCTTTCCCTTCCAAGTTGCTTTTGGTCATGGTGGTTTTCCGAGACAGGGTTTCTCTGTGTAACAAGTCATGCATGGTGTTTTACTGCAGTAATAAAAATGCTAACTGAAACAGTAGGTGAGATTTGGTTCTGGAAATGCTTAGTTCGATGTGCTCATGGGACAAATGTCCAGTGAGTAATAGGTTCTGTGGATCCTAAACTCAGGAAACTGGTTCAAGCTGGAGACAGTCATTTTGGAGTACTGGCCATAAAGCCAGGCATGAATATTAACGAAGCTAACTAGAGAACACTGATATTTTGTTACACAGTGGGAAATGTTTAAAAACCTACAGTCCTTCCTCACTTTCTCAAGATCTTTGCTCTCCCCGTGCTCCCTCAATCTCGACACTCCTCTACCAGGTCATTCTCCAGAGCCCATCAGCACACTCCTTTCTTCCTCTCATGGAAAGTCTTCTTCCTGAATGCACAGTCTCAGCTCTGCTCCTGCATAACCCAATCAGTAAGGTTTATCTCCCTTTCTTTTCTCAAATTCAGCCAGCTTCTGCTTCTTTCTCACAGTTGCTTTGAACAGGGTCACTTCCAATAGCCATATTCCTAAATCCAAAGGTTTTTGTCTGTATTTGACTAGATGCACCAGCAATACTCAACAGCTCACTATTCTTTCCAGCAAAATTGAATATGGTGGTATCTGTAGCTATTACTAAGATGCTGACAAAGACTCCAACTTACTGGCTAACAGTGAAGGAGTAAGATAATAGGAAGTAAAGCAGCAAGGAAGGAGAGATAAAGACAGACACAAGGTGAAGACTTGATGAGAGTACCATTTTTTTTTTTAATACCATGGGAAATGGGAGTTTTTTACAAGGTTTTGAGCTGGTAAATTACCGATATGTCTTATACTAATCTGGCTACTGTGTTAGGGGTTAAATAGGGTAAAGTAGATGACAGGCTATCATGGCTTGTATCCTAACTTGAGCGTACTGCTCAAAATGATGAGTGGCACATTTTGAATACTCTGGGGTAGAGAGAGACAGCATAGCTTCCTAATGGGTCAGATATGGGGTGCAAAGGGTAAGGTGGTGAGAAAGAGCAAGAGTAGGGCTGAGTGAGGAGTCAGGCAGGACCCTGAGGTCTGGCCTGTGAGGTTTGGGAAAGGAAGAGGTGTGATACTGATGACAAGCTGATCTTGGGGGCTGGAGAGAGGAAGGCTCAGCAACTAAGAGTATTGACTGCTTTTCCAGAGGGCCTGGGTTCCCAGCACCCACACGGTGGCTTAAACCATCTATAACTCCAGTTCCAGGGAATCTGACATCCTGGGCAGGTACCAGGTGCACATGTGTGCACATGTACTGCACACACACACTTAGGCAAAACACCCATATAAAGAAAGATAAAATAATAATAAAGAGTTGTCCTTCTGGACAAATCATTATCTCCCAGGGGCTCGTTTCCTCTTCCCAATATCTAAATGCTGGGATTCTGTAAGACTCAAGTTTTTTGTCCCCATTTGGATGATTATATCTATTCCTATGGTCATAAACATCACCTAGATATCCAAGCCTTCAAGTTGGAATCTCCAGTCTGCACTTGTCACCTAAGTTCTAGAATGTTTCATCTTGGTCCTTTCAAAAGCATTTCTCTCTAGCTCAACATGGTCTCAGCTTTTCTATACTTCCACTGACACTGCCTTATTTCAGCCACCCGAACTTCCGGCCTTCAACAGTCTTTTTCAGAAGTGGCCCTTTCGTTTCTATTTTCAACAGCCTTTATGGTTGCACACAGCAGAATAGAGCTGTTCTTTTATAGCTTTTCTTCTTTGTCTATTTTCTAATACTATGATATAACAATCCAGCAGATATGAACAAACTGTTAGACTACATACTGTGAAGGACACTTAGTATGTGGGTTAGGTTTTTGTCAACTTGACACAAGCTAGAGTCACTAGGACATCAACTGGGAAAATGCTTCCATCAGACCGGCCTGTAGAGTCTATAGGGCACTTTCTTGATTAATGATTGATTGGATAGGGCCACCCCTGGGCAGGTGATCCTGGACTGTATAAGAAAGCTAGCTGGGGGCTGGAGAGATGGCTCAGCAGTTAAGAGCATTGTTTGCTCTTCCAAAGGTCCTGAGTTCAATTCCCAGCAACCACATGGTGGCTCGCAACCATCTGTAATGTCTGGTGCCCTTTTCTGGCCTGCAGGCATACACACAGATATAATACTGTATATGTAATAAATAAATAAATATTTAAAAAAAAGCTAGCTGAAGGAGCTGTGTAGAGCAAGCGAGTATACCATTCCTCCACAGCTTCTGTTTTAGTTCCTGCCCTCAAGTCCCTTCTTGAGCAACTGTGATGTTGAAGTATAAGCCAAGTAAATCCCTTCCTCCCAAAGTTGCTTTTGGTTGTGGTGTTTTACCACAATAGTAGGAAGCAAACTAGAATACTGGGAAATGATCAACAAAGATAGTCATGACTCTTTCACTTCATAGAATTAAGAGTCCAGGATCTCTGTTCTGTGTTACATGTCGGTGGTCTCTTTCCTCAGGAGGCTAAGACAGAAAGATTACAAATATAAAAGTAGCCTGTGCTCAGCGAGTCTGCAAACCACAACCCCACAGCACAAACACTAGCATCCACAGAAACAAACCAAACCAACAAAACTTAACTCCACTGTATAATGTTACTATTTAAAATAGTTCACCTGCTTTCCATAGGCACTCAGACTAACACTCAAATGCGCCACAGTGCAGGCAGAGACTGCTCTTTTTTCCCCTGGCTGCTCAGACCCGAATAATCACACAGAAACTATATTAATTACAACACTGCTTGGTCAACAGCTCAGGCATATTTCTAGCTAGCTCTCACATCTTGAATTAACCCATTTTTTTTTTTTTTAATCAATCTGTGTATTGCCATGAGGCTGTGGTCTACCGGTAAGGTTCCTAAGATTCCAGTGTATCCTTCCCCTTTGGCAGCTACATGGCATCTCTCTGACTCTGCTTTCTCTCTCTGTGTCTGTTCAGATTTCCCATCTGGCTTTGCTCTGCTAAGCCATTGGCTTTCATGTTAACCAATGGTAATAAAACATATTCACAGCATACAGAGGGAAATCCCACATCACCACAGTGAATTACCAAGAATCCAGGATGAACTGGCCTCTGGCACTGTTTCACGCCCTCCTCCCTCTCCTAATTGTGATTCAGCTTCTTTTGAGTTTGTCAAGTATGCTGGGATTTAGTAAATGCTGTCTTTCAACTCAGAAAGCTCTTCCTTTCAATGTACAACCCAGTTTTGTCATCTATTTAAAAGTCACCACCCAAACAAGGCGACCTCTGACCAGTCTCTACTCTGTCCAACTGTTATCACCTAACACAGGCTGGCTGAAAGTTCCCTAAGAGCAGGGATTGTGTCTTTGTTGTTCACTGATCTAGTCTGTATCATCTGTCTTTTCTGTATATGGTGGCTCAGTATCTGGCTAGTTTCAAATTCAAGATCCTCCTACCTCAGCTTCCTAGGGCTGAGATTATGAGCATGTACAACCAATCCCAGCTCCTGAGTGCTAATTCCGTAAGATTCGAGAGTTGTGAATGTCTTAGTCATCTTTATTTTCCTGGAGTTCTTCGGAGGTTGAGGTGTTTAGTAGTTTGTTGATGTTTGCTTAATACACCAGGGTATGAGAAAAAAGCTAAGAATGGAAACTAAGAATGGTACTGAGAAGCAAAGAAGGAAAATTTCAAGGAGACTGTAAATTTACTGATTTCATGTCTGACTCTGTTATCACTACCTCAGTTATATTGTCTTCTACTATTGCCCCTCTCCCATCCATTCAGTCTCCATCTGGAGGAAAGGCTTTTAGGAACGGCTTCCTAAACTGGAGAGTAAAAGAAAAGAATGAGAATGAGCAGAAATTAGTTAAGTATCCCTCTTAACTGTAGGCATGTAATATACCCACCTTTAGAAGAAGGATTCCTACTTCTTCACTGGTAACAATCATTAATAAAAATGGTGACATA